GTACGTAGTAAGTAAGTAAGTAGTAGTAGGTGAGTAGAAGTACGAACAACTATAGTCGTGTACGTAGTACGTACGTGTGTCGTTCTCTTGTTGTTGTAGTAGTAGTAGAGTATATATATATATATATATATATATATATATATATATATGTGTGTGTGTGTCTTTCCAATTAATAACAGCCAATTTTATACCATATCGTTATAACAGTAAAAAAATCCATACGTAACCCTTATTCTTAACATCAAGCCACATAGATAACAGTGCCTTTCACATAAACATGCTAAAATCGGAATTGCTCCAAACATGGTTTTTTACTATGAAAAATTGTTTCATGTGAGCTGGATTGCATTTCTACATATGAGTCCCAAAAAGCATAAAGCATCCATGTTAAAAATGGATGCAAGTAGATGTTTCATCTAAAAACAATAAATATGAGTCCAAATAATTTATTATTATAATTATTGTTTCAAGTACGCGAGAAATGGGAACTTTTCAAAATAAGTGGTCGCTCCAGACTGGCCCTAACCAGACACACTATACCGTTTTCTTACACAAAAGGACCAAAAGTATTCATGAGTCATGACTCTTTAAACTCATCAAACTTGAAATCATGCTCTCAAGTAAAGTCACATAAAATAGGCAAAACTCTATAATATTTTTCAAACATGTAATAATACATACTTGGATTACTTTAAAATCCACAGTTTGAATTAAAGTATTTCTGATGGATTTTTTTTCATGTTTGAAAATAGCTAAAAGATTTTTGACTCCTGCGGGAATTTACAATCCATCTACTACCCCAGGCAAAACTTACACTAGAAATATCTTTTAGATCACAATTTTTGGGGATGTGATCTCTAAAACAAGGAAATTAACCCAAAGAAAAGAAAAAAAAGAATCACTCTCTATGTGCCTAAAAAGAATGGCATCCCAAGATTGCACGGGAACCATCTAATTTTTGGAGGATATGATCTAAATGTTCAATACTCAAAATCTACAATTTTTTATTTGAAAATAATCATCTATTTATAATTAGATCGAACGCAAAATTTCAAATCAAATGCAAAAAAAATTCTTAAAAATAAATGTTTCACCCAATGGAGTAAATGTATAGTATGCTCCTGAACGAACATACTATATTTGCTCTTTAAAATAATACATCAAGCATGCACATGGGAGTATATACACGTGATCATACACAGCTGCAAGGAGAGAGAGAGTGTGTTGGCATGTGGGCCTTTAAAGAGTAGTTACTACATTACATTATTGGAAATAATCAACATATAACCTCTATCGACGCAGAAAGGCACTTGTCATAGTTGCGAATATTAGATTTGTACAAAAATCAAGGGAAAAATGATTGGAGCTTGTTATGTCATGATAGTCAGGGCCCGTCAGTGAGATGTCTAGGGCTGGCAATGGATCGGGCCTACGCGTTGCCATCCCAGCCCAGCATTGCCAAGACTGGGTCAAAGGGATATTGGCTCAAGCCAAGCTAGGTCACACAGACTATTTTAAAAAAAAAAGAAAAAAAATTCTAAGGAGAAACACCACGCCTGGCATGGTCCGGCCCCGATAGACTTGGCCCTCGAGCTGCAGTGGCCTGGTCCTCAGGCCATATTTTGTGGCCCACAGCCTTTAGGAATTGGGCCAGATTGTGTGACCCATTGCCAACCCTCTTAGTTAACCACCCGCTGCAAAGAACCTTTAAAAATAGGGATTCTATAAAAGAAACCATTTAACTTTGGTATACCGAGGTCATAATTATATATAACCATCCGATGCAAAATCTGATAGCTTGGGTGCATCACAAAGTTCGAAAAAATTTCTTTTGAACTTTGAACTCGATCAATGAAATAAATATGCCACTGAATTTTACATCCAATGGTAAAGATTATTTATGACCACCTTGTATCAAAAGTAAATGATTTCATTGTATTCTTTCCCTTGAAAATATAATAATTTTGCAAGTACATGTTCAAACTCCTAAGTTCACAAAGAACAATCCATTAAAAATATAACACTCATTAAGAAGCCTTTGGTAACCAAAAACACTTGGATTTACGGTAGGAAATGTGAACGCATGCCATATGCGTCCCCTTGATGCATCAAACATCCATCTCAAAAATATCATTTTTTATTTTAAAAAGTTGTTCTTTTTTAGATTCATATTCACTGTGAAAGAGATTCTCAACCCCTAAACTTTTGGATCTAGAATCCATCTTGAAGATGAGATGGATTTTGGAGGGAGGACTTCGAGATGGATTTTGAAGGGAAGACTTGTATAAATAGATGAGTCGGGAGACCATCATTTATGGTTTCACATACATACAGTTACTAAAATTCAATCCCCGAATGCCCGTCACATTCCAAGAACCTGTTGAAAAGCTAAAAAAACCCTTGGACAGTTTCAGTATTTGGAATACCTTCTTTCAAGTATCATGCAATGGGTGTGGAATATTTTCCTTCAGTATTGTACAATTGCTCCATCTTTAAGGTAAGATCAGAAATTGAATTCAGAAAAATGAATTCAGAAAATAATTATCAAATTAAATGAGAATATACAATGTCATGGCTAATACAGACAATAAATAGATGGAAATGGACAGATGGATGGATTAATAGACAAACAAATAGATAGATAGATAGATCGATAGAGGCAGAAAAAGAGAGTTTGAAAATTAATTGTTATACACAATATCTTCAAGTGAAGATCAGAGTAAATATTGAATGAATCAGCAACCTCTTTTGGTTCTTTTTCTTTCCTCTTGCCTCCGCAACTCCTAAGGCAATGAAAGGCCTCTACTTTTACACCAATCTCTTATTGGAATTCGACTTTCGATCCTTCAAGCTGATAATACATAGGCAAATTTACAATGTTACTAGTGCAAATGAAAACTTTTTAATCAGGTAAACAAAGGAAAAATGACATTGTTGAGATTGATTTGAGAGAGAGAGAGAGAGAGAGAGATGTTTAGGACTCCTCTGATCAATCCACAAGTGAGTATTAAGTTTGATGATGCATATGATATTGGACACCGATGAGGTTGGGGGGAGGGAGGACTTCAGATTAATACGGTGGGGTGGGGGAAACCGACCATCCATTGTTCTTCAGTGCTCTCAATTGGATTAACATTTGAAAGTGATCTAATAAGGATAGCTCCCTATCATGTCTGAATCACATCTTTCAAATGCCTTTTCCATTTCTCCATTGCTCAGACATTGCATCAGCTAGAGTTAGCACGACCATTGAAAAATTCTTCAAGTTCAAAACAATTGGGATATTGGCATTGCTCACCCAAGTCGAAGAAGTTCCTACTCTATTTGAAGCTGAGTAAAGAGATCATGCAATCAAAGGCTGTAAAATAACTATTAGATCTTTCCCATGTTTGTGCATGAAAGGTAACAGGTAGATTTGTTTATTTTACATTTTTTTTCAAAGATGGAGATTGGGTTCATTTGATCATTTAATTTTTTTAGTTATCTTAGGTAATTAAGTCTTTTTTTGTTATAGAGAACTGAGGGATAGAGTTGAAATTTAATTTTAGAAGACGAAGGGCTAAGATTTAATAGTGACTAGGGTTTCTTATGGGAAAAGTGACTGAAGGTTACTTTTATAAATATGTAAGAAGGAAAACAAAAATAGAAGTACTGAATTTTGAGTCTCATAAAAGATTTTTTTCTGTTTTATTTTCCTTCTATCATTTTCCTAAATCATGTTGTAATATGCAATGCACTCTCATGACTCATGTTACACAAAAATCCTACAATCTACGAAGGAATATTCATCTTGGGAAAACAATGGTATATACATGGTCAAGGGAAATTATGACGTAACCCAATACATTGTACAAATCCCCATTCACCCTCCACTAAAGCCGTGGATAGTGATGGAGAAACAGTGGCAACCACCCTCAGGTGAGTGGCTCCATGTCAATCTCTATCATTGTCCATCACTTCAATGTATGAGGAAGATCCAACATGACCGGGGTTTTACCATACTACAGTGGATTAGAATATACTTTGCCCATGGTAAAACAAAATGTAACTAACTACATATTTATCAATACATAGAAACCCCAGAATGGGTCCTTTCTCAACTTTATAGTGATTCAACTTAGCAACATATTTTAACAGGAATGTTCAACAAACCCCTTTTCTGCTCACCTCGTTATTTTCCACTTGACCCTTCAGTGGCTGACAATGTAAGCTCTTGCAGAAATTGTCATGAAGAGTATCAATGATCACAAAAGAGGAATGCTTTGCACGGCGTAAGGTATCAAACTGTAAATGATTATCTACACAGAAGCCTAAGAAGGCTTGTGGTGTATAAAATATTTCACTTTACAAAACACCATCCTTGTCCTTGGTGCTTGAAGGAGGATCATTCATCTCGACCTGCAAGGAGTTAATATGTGGTGTTAATATAGCCAAAAGCATAGCAATCAAAAAGCTAAATGAAGCCTTAAATAGAATTTAGTAAGGGTAAATATAACCTAATAAAATGGAAATGGGTAAAGCAATGTCCATTGGATCATCAACCTCCAATGATGGGATGGAGAGTGATGGAGAGAAGTAAGGTTTCCATGTCAGTTCAAGTGAACCCAACACACACTCCATCACGGCCCATCTTTCAAAATGGTCGGCAATGACCCAACGGACCATGATTTTTATATAGTCCACCATACTATACAGTCACATTTAAGAAATCTATAAATATTAAGAGTAGAAATGCTAATCCCATGTATACCAAAATTTAGATGAGAGACTTCATGTCTAATTGCTCTACTTACAAGAGAAAACGAATGCTTTCCCCTTCTATTACAGGGAATTCGATTATTGCAATCAACATTTTGTTTGGCCTCATAACAACTTTAAGATAAACAAAAAATTAGTTAACATTTTCATCATTTAAAAGTTAAAAACTACTTTTGATTCAAATAGTTATTGCATCGCATACTGACCGAATTAAAAGGTGAAATTATAAGTTCTTTAAAATATCCACTTTAGTGCATTTTTGCAATTAAATTCTATGGCATTCATTCAGTTTACGAAAGCTTTTCTTTCTGTTCTTAATAAAACATAGATGATATGATTTTCAAGAATCATGCGAGTTTATCTTAAGACCAACATTTGAAAGACAACAGTCACTTAGAAGGGTAAATTATAAATATTCATTCACTATATAGAAAATAAGCACTTACTTCTCACAAAGATAGAAATTTTCACACAACATGCAAACCCGGAGCTTCCTAGATAATTCAAATTCACCACAGTACTTGCATGCATGCTGCATGTGAACCACAATAAAATCCTCCCTCTTCTTACTAATGGAATCTCCAAGCTGGCAAACGAAATACTGTGTAAATTAACATTACATTCAATAAGATGAACAAACTAACAAAGAAAGAACCACATAAACCTTTCAAAGGATTGAAAGAATGTTAAAGATACCAAGAAAATGGCAAGTTAACTAATTAATGATGTTATCTTTGTAAAAAACTGGAATCTGAAAACAAATGTGGTTTTTTTGATAAGTGGTCAAGAATATTTAACATATAACAGAACAAGTAGCAAAAAAAAAAAACAATGATTTTGAAAGATATAGCTAAAAGAAAATTGGTCCGTACTTTCTGTGTCAAGAGTGCTACCTTTGCAGTATCATTTGCAACAATAGCTTGGGTAGAATATTTCGGAGCCACTTTTGAAGCTGGTGTTTTTCCACTCTTTCGTCGTTTTTCACCATCTTCTTTATCAATATTAGCAATAATATACTCTGCCCTTCTAGAAAAGTAATTCCCATCAAAATATGGCACAGAAGTCAAGGTCACCTTTGCCTTCTTTTCACCAGTACGCACAAAGAATTGTTCATACATATTAGTATGCTCCACTACAATATCTTCATCTGTAGCCTTTTGTATCGTATCAAGATACCTAAGAAACAAACAACTAGTTATACTCCAGCTCATTATAAGTTCTCCTCTAAGACAGTACTTTAAACCTCAATTTGGCATTTATAGTAATGACTGGATGCAGATGAACATAAGAATACACGGGCTCACACACGCAGACATGCACACACTGCAAGAAAGAGAGAGCTCACCATTGACGTAGTCTATCCAACTTTGGGGTCTTTTGTATCTCTGGGTGGCAATACAAAATATAATCATCTTCTTTCGTAGGAGGACAGACCCATATATGACAGCTCATAAACCCTCTTCTTTTGCAATACTCAAGATATCCAACCTGAAAAAAGAAAATCAATCATTCCACAGATCACTCACATAATTGTTCATCACAGAAAAATAAGTGCCACAACTAAAATATTTTAACAAGACTGCATCATTCACTTAGGTTTTATAAAGGCATGGTGTGCGATCAGAGTTCAATACAATGGGATAAACAACCATATTGGGTAGGGGCTGACACCGATATACACTACTAACAGCCAGTATATCAGATATCAAGAAGGAAGTAGAACAAAAGTTCTGTTATTCTCATTACTAAATATTCAATGTAATTTCAAAAAATATCATCAGATAAATAGAAGATATTTGAGTGATATTCCAAAAAGTATAGGAAGTAGCAGAATTTATACCAGACAGAGCGCAAGTTTTCTAAAATGGTAGAAACCCACTTATATAAATCACCTAATACATTGAAAAAACCAGCAATGTACGATCATTTTTTGCCAGTCTTGACCTAGACATCATAACTATCCCATATCGTAACAGGCAATGAACCGAAACATCAGATTCTATATTTTTAAATCAGCTATACAATTTTTGAACCATGCATGCAATGCATAATTCTGGATTGGAAAATATCATTTTAATATCTAACCTTAAACTTATGCAATCAGATTAAGAGTGAGACAAATGAACAAAAGAAAATGGATAAAAGGAAAAGCATGAAGAATAATTAGATTCTCACCAAAATTTCACTATATACAAAAGTACGGAGAGCCTCCCCAGTAATAGACTTAATCGCAGGCTGGAAGTACTTGACAGAATCAACATATGAAAGACAGACACGACGATTGTTTGGATATGGACATTCCGAACCATATTCTTGGACGTACATGCAAAAAAGACAAACGTCTACGCCTTCAATTTTTTGAAACAGCAATATGGCCTGCAAAAAATCATCAAATAAATCCAAGTAAAAAACACAGTAAAGCTAGCAAAAACCATCAAATTCAAGACTCCTTTCAACATCAACGGCCTCAAAAATGACGACACAAGTATCATGATTGGCTTACTAATTTTTTGGAAATGTTAACTAACCTTGATTTGTATGGAAACTCTGAAGAGTAACTTTCATCTTTAACAATCTCCAGAAAATGTTGGTTCACTTGCAGTTTCTGATCAACAGATAAGAAAACTCTAATGACAAGATCTTTGGCCCCTGGCACCTGGAACCAATGTGGTCATCATTATAATGAATATAACTTGCAAGTTGAACACTCCATTTGTTGATGAACCAAGATTCACAATACTATAGTGTCCAGACATCATCATTATAGTGGTATTAAAAAAAGAAATTAAAATTAAAATTAAAATATTAAGATGTTAACATGCAATTCAAATTATAACAAAAGGACCAGCCTTTGTTCTCCCACAGTATAAAATCTTTAGATAACAACAGCCAAATGACCAAAAGGATCAACTTGAATCAAAGCATCAACTTGAAAACAAAACAAACCTCTGTTATTTAAAACTTCTTCTCCCTAACTAGGATAGAGATGTTATCTCGCATTGTGAAAGAGCAATAATATAAAAAATGAAAACAAAATGCATGCATGTGAGAATAAATCCACATTCAGCGAACTTTATATACTCTATAATGGCATAGCTTAAATACCTTGAGATATGAAATATTCATGCCAAAATTTGTAATATAAAATCAAGTAATAAGATACAAACAGATGTTATTCAATGCCCTAAAAAATGTAAAACAGACCTGGTTTATTTCCAATTTTCCACTACATGTTTACATACACGACTCATATTGCATGTGAGTGTGTGTGTTGGAGAGAGAGAGAGAGAGAGAGAGAGAGAGAGAGAGAGAAGAAAATAAAAATAAAAACTAAATTAAACGTTAA